TGGCTCTTTTCTTCCAACCTGCAGGTCTGGGGAGACGGCATTGAAATTCGATTCAGATGTCAGCACTTGATTTTGTCCGATGGGGTCATTCAAACAGTGCACATTTTTGAAAAGGATTAGTGCTCAGAAAAGCGACAATTACAATACAGGTACTCCGTCTCAACAGTAACTACCCAATCAGTCTCAAACAAACTTGCATCGGGCGCTATATCGACGTCTTCAGACACACTGATGTGAACAGAGGCACACGGTAATTGATGGGAAAGAGCTTTTGACAGGTGCTCAAACCAAATGGCTGCCCGTGCAACTTGTACAAAAGGTTTGTGTGCAAATGATAAGGAAATCCAAACATCACAGGCCTAAAATTTGAGCGCGTGCTCCGTATGTTACGAAAAAATGCGCCAACTATCTTCTTACATCACCTGCGATCCAGTTCACTTACATAAAGCTCAGGAGCAACCAGTGACACTACGTAATAATGCCGAAAGACCCACTTCTATGACAGAAAACATCTGGCGTAGTTGCCACTAAGGCAAATACGTCGCAAGGGCTGGAAAACTATTACAGACGCCGGCGACGGAACACGCCAGAACAGTGAGAAATTACAACGACAGTTCCTGAGTCGAGGTCCATTCAAAGGTACACTGTCGCACCTTTAAGTTCAACGAGGGCAAAATGCTCGCGAGGGTTGATAACCGCATGAGTAACGAGCTGAGTGACTTACAGTTCCCCTCTCGGAAGTGTATCGAAAGGCGCAAACATCTCTCTCCTTGATATTGAGTGCTGGGACTTGGATACCGGCGACCAGGTTAAATGACCGATAATCCAATTATGCTGAACGAAAAGATCCGACATGCCCATGAGGCAGACGCGGTCGGTATTTGCAGATAAGCTTCTTTATAGCGAGACAGATTAGTACTGCACCCAACTCGTTATCTATTCTGACAACAGATACATTCGAAATGTAAGAGAAGGCTGATGCGATTGGATAGGGGCGCGATTACAGCAGCCGTTAGCATTAAACAGTCAGTTTATGAGTGCTATGCATGGACTGAACCCTAATTCCATGTGCGAACAACGTCAATCCAGAGGAAGCTTTTATCCCACGCTGGTCTTCCTGATCCTCTAAACGGATCAAATGGATGCGCTGGACTAACAAGGGGGCTAGATGGGGGCGCAACAGACGTTATCTGAGTTGCGCTCTCATAACAAGGGCCGACCATGGGGGGAGCATTGGTGGAACGCCTAGGTGCAGGCTCACACCGCACCAGCCACGCGTGGCTTTTAAAGCACTCCGCATCCGTAAGATTTGAGTCAGGCCTGCCGAGTCTGGCCACCCGCGCGGGATTTCGCTTCCGGTCTTCTTGACTCTGACGGACGGTGGAAGAGAGTGCGGTAGATGCAACACAAGTCTACTATCTCTTAATACTAATCAACCTGTAAGTCACTGTCTCTGCAATCTCACACTGTGGAGCACGCAATAGACATTATTGGAATCAACGGTCCAACTGTCGCACTAAATTCTTTAGATATTAGGGCTAGAGTCGGGATGAAGTTTTGGGTTAACCTTAAGACACGGAATAGATACCCTTCATGGAATTTAACGCAAGACTATCTGTATTACAGGGTAGGGAGTTTTTTAACCCCGTGTCTTAACAAGTTCGCAGTATAAATCAGAGTCTTACACACGAAGATTGTCAGGTACCCACTTACTATGGCGCCTAACAGGGGAAACCCATTTAAGTAAATCGGCGTAAAACTATTCAATAAGTAATGGGAGACCAACCACCATGAGGATCCAGTGATGAGCCGAACCCTCGCAGCTATGCCATGCAGTGACAGAAGAATGGCGAAACACATATCCGGAGTTTTAATAGTACCTTTGCTGCCAGTATGATAAATAACTACACACGTTATAGTTCTGACAGCCTGTTGGCAGCTTGTTAATATTACGCAGTTTTCCCGCAGTGGCTGAGAGGCTTCGGCCCAAACATTCATACCCGATTTCGGTCTGCACCTATAGATTTTAGAATATACTAATTTACTCCAAGTTAGAAATTAATTTCTGGGTAAATTTTTAAAAAATGCCATAAAATCAACTACTGTATGCCATGCGTATCGCAAAAGACAGCAAAGAAGGCTTGAAAAAATAGGCTTCGCGCGAATTGCAAGAAATGTAACTTCAGCAATCTGCGGCTTCAAAGCCCTAAACAAATTATCCATTTCGTGACTAAAAGTGAATCCCATACAAGTGCCGACAAGTAACGCAACGGCTCGGTGAAAAGAGGATGTCGAGATATCTAAAGAAACCGAAGGTATAAGAGAGAAAGGTCATGATCATTGTTTGGTTGTATGCAGCTGGCATTAACACCAACTTCTTGAATCCCGATGCCTTCGCCACTGAAGAGCAAAATCACAATAAGCAGAGCAAAAAAAACCAGAAGCTCCGTTGAAAGCATTCAGTAGTCGAGGAAATCCGATCCTTAGCCGTGATCGCATTCGACCATCTTTTGCGCCAAAGACACTCTATGGCGCACTGAGCTACAAAACTCTGCCTCGCTGAGGATATTCATTCAAACTCATGCCCCTTCAAGAATCTCAGCAACTTCCTGCAAAAAACATGTTCCTCAGTCAAAAGTTGTGAAGTCATGGTCGAAAACGGGAATTAATTTTGCATAAAAGTAATATCTGTTTGCACAGATACAAAAGTTTGCATACAGTGGATGTGCTAGCTCGTTAAATGTTAACCCACATTCTGAAAGGTGTTTTCGATTCGAAAGGATTACTTAAGTAAGATTTTAATATTAATCACCGTACAGCAGGATGTTGGCTTTTGAACAAACCGCCTGCAACAAATATGCTCTGTAAAAAATAACTACTTAAGCAGGACAAATTGTTCCCCTGGACTTTCCATGTCCTCATAAATTCAAATATATTTTGTAGAAGACATGCAAAAAAATTTTTTTGTCTTCGTCACATTTGGTAAAAGATTACTTCTCCATAGTTTATACTTTAGGAAAGCGTACTTTTCAGTTCTAAAAGTTTCTTATTAGGGTAGATCTTAAGATCGTAAAAGATGCATACATAAATCATCGTGTCCGTGCATGTATTAATGCTGTTTATTAAGTATATAATATTGTTCGTAGCCTTTGCACAATCGTATGAGTACTATTTGAGATCTTCCTAAAAGGGTAACGAAATGAGCGATTTTCCGTATACGGAAATATGCAGCATGTCATTTTAGAAACCCTACGGCCAATTGCAACTGCAGACTGGATTCAAAATTACTCAAAATTAGATGTGTTCTAAAACCGAAAATATCCGTTCGTCCAGCATACAGTTTGAAGAAGACTATTTTTACCAAGTGAATAAAAGAAACAAATACTTCCGCGCACGTTTTCTATGAGATAAATCTGAACTTATGGGACATAGATAATCAATGGAAAATGTACACTATTTTAGTAATCATTTTTTACAAAATGCAATTTCTGTGGGCGGCTGAAAAGCTTTTTCAAAAGCCGGCGTCCTGATGTGACCAAAATACCTTTGGACTAGACTGCATGATAATTAAGATGACAAATCTGCTTAGTTATATCTTTAAATCGGAAACGCCTTTCAAATTTCCGTCAAAATTTCATACGATACCACATCCAAGTGCCAAGAGTTTGAAAAATACTACACGTGGGCATGACAGTTAAGCAAAGAAAAGTGCTACCGAGAGCTTGTGGAGCACATTTTTGAACTTTGCTAGAGCCCTCGGGATCTTTGTAATCCTCACAGTCTGCTTAAGGCTATGATCATGCTAGATTGTCTCTAAGGGCGCTTCAAATGCTTGCGCAGTTTGCTTCAGTTCTTTATCTGAACTGCACGCATCCGATCGCGTTAGAACTCAGAGGAAGACAAACAGCCGATATCACAAGACAC